AAAGATTCACAACTTTAAAAATTTCTTATCATATGGGTATTTGTATTGTAATGTACATATCCATATTGTTAGTGCAAAAGGTCGTGTGTTAAAATTGAGTGTTTTACAGGAGAGCACACTGATTACTTTATGATTTATTACTACAATTTCATATTTTATTTTCCTCTGCTTCCATAGTAGTGCTATGTATTGTAAAGACCGCCGGTGGAATTCATTTAATTATTTTAAAAGTATAAATAAATAAATATCCTAAGTGCTCACATCTGGCGGTACCTGAGCTAGGGTAACGACCCACGAGGGCAACCTTTTGTAAGTGGTAATAAAAACCCTTAAGAACCACCGACCAAGACCGACAACGGTCTCACGCCTGAGTGTTTAAACAGGATCCGAATTACTATTAACACCTTCCAGAAATACGTAAATTATACCTGGTTAGTGGAATACCGAAAGGCCTGGGAGAGAGGGCGTGGTCATCCCTTAGGCTAGGAATATTCAGCCAATCAGAAAAAGTACAAAAAGAGAGGGGGGTGACTGGAAGCTAGGACGGTTAGAGTTTTGAGGAGGACACTTGATCAGGAGATGCGGAGAGAGCAAGATATGGACTGATAGCTGGGACTCAGGCTGTGACACTTCAAGCTGAGGGTCAAGCGAAGTCGGTTGAACACTGGGAGGAAGACGGAGGCTGAGGAGAGCGACATGGAAGGAGACTCGAAGATGATGAAGAACCAGCTAGGTAATAACCCTCATCTAGTAATAATGATGTAAACTTCTGTTGGCAACCATAAATCGTTAATTAATAGAATCAATAGAATACATGTAACTTTAACCAAACATCAAGCATTCTTCTCTTGTATGATTCTCCTAATATCATTGTATATATGTTTTTGGTTATTTGAATTTGTAAATATATTAGTTAGTAAACCATCTTAGTACTTTTACAATCTACCTTGCATGCCACCAATTAGATATAAATACAAATAGTAAATTTAAAAACATGATACCTTTAGAAAGGAAATCCAATAAAAATTATATGGTTCAATCTAGGATACTACAGTAGGGGGTCTGTGGTATCTAACATTTAAATACATAATTAATCTATTTTTCGGTAGATCGGTTCCCTTCTGGGACCGATATAAATACCAATATATGTATTAAATACAAATAAATGCGGTTTCTGGAACCCCCTACTCCCTACTCGCCGTAGAAACGCGAGGCCAGGAACATAGTAGTAGTAGATTATACAAAATGTCTCTTTTAGCACAAATAGAATAAAAATGTAAAATGTTCACAAACGAGCTTTTGCTCTAACAGTAGCGATATCATTTGGCTTCACTCATTTATAAAGGAATTTTTCAAAAAATATCATGGAATTGAATTCAGAAGTTTTAGAATAAAAGCTGATGTTTCAAGAGGATTCTACCAGAAAACAACGATAAAATGATTTATGTTTCCTCTCAATTTTCATTTTATTTATTTAATTAACACAAAACACATGAATGGTCCATATTCAATTTGATTTAAAAGCATTTTTATATTGAGAAAAGATTTGAAATATAATTCAGTAATGGCCTGAATTCAGAAAAAAAGTCTTAAATTAAAAAAAAATACAGTTTTAAAAGTAATATACTGAAAAGGAATCGACTAATAAACACCAGCTACATACACAAAAAAACTGTTATTGTTTATATGATTCGTTTGGGCTTCCTCATATGCGTAGTACTTGGAATGATATCTCTTCAATATCACGAAATATCGAAAATGGTTCAGAAGTTTGACAGACTCTGAGATAAAAATATAAGCTAAAGGGAGAATGATATTTTTTGTAATCCACGAGAAATTAAATTCTTGAGACGTCGGAAAAAAATAAGTGTTGACTTAATACTCTTCCTTTAAGCATAAGAATCTAAAATGGATGAAGAAAAAGGAGCTCAAAACGAACGCACGTGAAACTATATGAACGTTTTTTATTTAATTATTAATTATTTAATAAAATGATACACTTCCCTAAACTCCTGGTCTCAGATAGAGGTTTATACATTTAAAAACTTTTGTAGTAGATCAGGATATTTGTTTACCAATGACAGTCTCTATCATTTTTTAAACTACTTTATTCCTAGATAAGATTTGGTAACCTGTGTTGATGGGTGGCTTATAGACTTAGTATTGGAGTTGTGAGATTTGCAAACTTAAAGACTTGTAAAAAGGTTACTATAGGAACAAATGGAATGAGCGTTGCTCCTATTTGTAAAACTCTAAACGGAGGATATAATAGAGAAAGTCTTGGACGGAAACTACAGCTTTCATTTTTAGATCGAGAGTGGGTTTGTTATAGACCATTGTTCTTGGTTCAGGAGATAACATTTATGGTAATAAGAAAAATATCAAGCACGTATCAAAAGGAGAGAGAGAGGGGAGGGAGGAGTTGTGGGAAGGATGGCTTTTTGGCTCCTTAAATTCATAAAAATTAAAAGAATCGTTCATTTCCAACAGCTATTTTGGAGCAAACCTCTGGATTAACTCCGATTGAAAAATAATCGAGTTGAATCCTTTTCGGGATCAAACAAAGAGGACAAAATATTATGAATCTGAAATTAGACAATAACATTTTTTTTTTTTTCAAAGATAAAAACCTAATGTCACACTCTATTTTCTCAAAATGAGTTAAATAGCTTACTGAATTCGTTTTTCCACACCTGAATGGTAACTATGCAGATTTAAAATATATGTCCACGTCGATTTAAGCCCGAAATATGTTATAAATTATAATAATAAGATCATCAGTATAATTTTTTTTTTTAAAACCTCTTCTAATGTGGTGTGAATTGAGGCAGGCGGTGCAAGGACTTAAATGGCAATATGCAAGTAATCACAACATGCATGATGTTATGAGGAAAAAATACATGTGAAATATAAACTGACAAATTTTTATACCAAAACTGATAAAAACTTAAATTAAGTTGGTATAAAGCCTAATGTAATTCGAAAACAATGAACCATTGACAAGTGAAGCTGGAATCTTGAGAATAACTTCCATTTCAAGGTTAATGGATGAAAATTGATTCTTCTTCAGTAAACAGGACAAATGGGTGAATAAAAGTTTCTTAAAAAAAAATCCATCAGATAAACGATTAGAAAACCTTTTTATCTGTTTTAATATTCATGAGACTATTAAAGACACGATCATTGTAACAAAATAAAACGTAAAATCTACTATGACGAGATTGCATTCCTTGATAAGATAAGAGACTTATATCAATCACTAAGTAATAAAATATCGTATCTCAAAACAAATACCGACTTTTGATTTATTTATATTTAGAACAAACAACTCGTAAACGATTCACCGATGATTACTGGTATTTTCTTGTAGTTTTGAAACACCACCACTTAACTGCAACTTTTATGAGTTTTTATTAATCCATTTAATAATAATTTTTTACCATTGATATTTTTTAATTTGAGAAATTTTATTAATTTATTTCAACCCCTCATAATTGATTTTTTTTTTTTATAAGAAATGTATAAATATTTTATGATTGCTATTAAAATATTAGAAAAACAAAACTTCTATTAAATCTTAATTCTCTCCCCTTCTTTCAAAAATTAAAAAGATTGGCAACGAAGACCATCTCTAATGGATTAGTAATGAGATTCCTGAGGTACCCGTCCCCAACTTAAAATCGAAACCTCTCGCAACTACAGAATAGAAGAATGGCGACTATCCAGAGAACAACTCTGCTGCGGGTAACAAAATCCTGAACGGCTGTTTCTAATAAAGCGGTACAGGTTTTAGTTGAGATGTACCTCTCTCTGCCTCCTTCTGCAAGAAGGTGAGACTAACTATATTCTTTAGAAAGAACGTTGTTCCAAGAAAAGAAATATGGGATGCTTTGGCGGCAAAAAATGTCCCAACTGATCTTATCACGGTAATTAGATCGGCTTATAAAGCAGCAAAAGGAATAGTAAGGATTAATGGCCTTTTACCATAAAATTTGTAAGCGTCATACTGCTTGGAAGGTCATCGAAAAATGGTGCATGCGAAATATTATGTTCCAAAGCCTACTATATGCCGATGACATCGTTCTGATTGCGGACACAAAAGACAAGCTGCAGGCAGCAGGCGCTTGTAGAATGACGTGAAGAACTCCTCCACAAAGGTATGGTTGTCAATAGCTCCAAAAGAAAAGTTCTCGATATGTCAAGGGATGAACAAGAGGACGCCCAGCTGATCTGAAACGAGGAGGTACTTGAAGCTATTAAGAATTCACCTATTTGGGAACAATTATCAGCAACACGGGGAAGATTGACCCAGAAGTAGCGAATAGGATATCCAGAGGCAATCAGATCTATTTCCCTATCAGCAACAGCTTACTAGGGGACAGGGAAGTTGACAAGGAAACAAAAAGGCACATATACAAGTCGGTATACCTCCCGACCCTCAGGTATGGAAGCGAAAGCCGGATTATGCTTGACAAGCAAGTTAATCGTGTGACAAGCCGAGATGTAGTTCCTGGAAGAACTGCTGGAAAGATCAGGAGAGACCGAGTCAAGAATGAACGCATAAGAGAGGATCTGGAGGTGGCGGAGCTAAGGATATTACTGGAAAACCGACAGTTGAAGTGGTTGGCCACGTTTGTCGGATGGAGGAGGAGAGAGGTCCGCGAAAGGTTCTTGAACCTTGACCCACTGGGAGAGGCCCAGAATTTCCTATCAGGAGTATATGCAGCGGATTGGAGAGAAGAGAGGCAAAACTCTACACGAAATGAGGTGGCTTAGGAGGAACCGAAAGGCATGGCTGCATAGAGGCTCTTCGACGCAAGTAATTGTACAAAGAGGAAGACAAAGAAGAAAAAAAAATATTAGAAGGACGAAATGAACCTGGTTAAATGGCTATGTATGGATCATTACCGATTGGTCAACAATATATACATAGAAGAAGGAGTAGGATTTTATCAAAAAGCAATGAATAAAACATGGAGTTGGTTCATGAAAAGACTTACCCTTCGCAGGTGATGATGCCGTAGTGGAGACCGGTGGCCTTGTCCTCGCAGATCATGCAGATCATGGGCTGGTCCTCCTCCTCGATGTCGCCCTCCTGCTGCTTGTCCTGGTGGAGGCCGGGCTTGGCCCAGGAGAGGTTGAGGGCGGTGAGCTGCTGCGCCCCGGGCAACTGCGAGAGGTCGCCCGCCCACAGCCTCTCCATATTTAGCGACCGCCCGCTGCCGCCCCCGCTCACCGCCGTCGGGCTCATACTGCTGCCTTCTTGACCTGCAACAGCGCTTAGTGGGTCAGCTACGTCGTCGACAAGGATTGCAATCTGCCGACTGCAACTTCAATTGTGATAAAATAAAAATAATTAAAAAACGATCTTTTTTATGCATCCGAGGACAACATGAAAGAGATAAATGTGAAGTTGAGAGAAAAATCTGGCAGTATTGTACTAAGATAACATTGGATTTTAAAGCTGACTTCAGTCAAGGATTTATAGTTGAAATCAAACTACCTCCAAACTAGTGTTGCCCAAAATCCACTTTGCAAGACCAAGACCGTTTAACTGTTGCAAGACCAAGACCAGGCCTGGTATAAAAAAATCGATTTTTAAAATAAAATTAAGGCAAAATAGTTACTAATACTCGAAAATTTTAATTACTATATGTTAATAATATGTACAACCAATATACTCTTTCATTTAACTCCTCTTATTTTTCATTGGGGCTTAGATAGGCTTCTGCTATCTAAAAAATTACAGTATATATATATATATATATATATATATATATATATATATATATATATATCTTTATTAAAAATAAAAGTAATAAGCTAATAAGTAACTGCAAGACTAGCGAGACTCTTGCGCAAGATCAAGACCATGATCAAGACTGAGTTTGCAAGACTGTGACTCATTTGAGATTTGTTTGTGAACTCATTATTGTAAATCAAAATTTTCAAAAAGTAAATAATAAAACACTAGAATTTTTTTCACGTAAAAGTAAATGTGATTAAAATCATTTAGTTAGTTACTGAATACCATAAGGATCAATTTTAATAACAGATATCTTGTTATAAACAATGCGTCATAATCACCTTAGATAAAAAAACTTCGATAATGATTTTACTAAAATAGATGTAAGAACACAAGGAAAATGAGGTATTATAGCATGCCAAATCTCATAAAATTTTTCACACACAGGTGAATCTAAATTCTATTCTAAAACAAACCTCAAATAAATAGGTAAGAAATTAAAGCTTGTTACACAAAGAAGTTTATATAAAAGTGGGGTATCTGCAGTGTAGTTGTAAGATGATAAAAAACATCGCCAAAAATCCACGATTTAATAAAATATAAAAAATACTTAGCGTAGTTTGGCCGCTTAAAAATTCTTTTTAAATGGTTTTGACAAATAAAAACTCTATTTGAAATTGAAGGGAATTTTGTCTAGTTTAGTTTAATCATTTTTTTAATTACTTGATTTAAGTAATTTTTGGATTATATCTTCCTATGAAATATAAAACGTGGCCATCTTAAGAAAATACAAAAATTACTCCTTTTCTATTCCATACATAAAATGAATTTTTTGTGAGAAATTTTGTCTAAAATCAACTCCCCCAGAGTTTTGTCATTAAAAACTGAGATTATTGATTGTTTTAACATTATATTTGTTTAATTTCTAAACATTTTACAACAATGACAATGAACATTTCAGCTACAGTACTGTGACAAAAAAGGGATTCATAATGCATAGACACACAATGAAAACTCCGAAGCACACTGGATAAAGCAATTTTCCAGGAAAAGATGTGGGAAATGACCAATGAACGGGAAAACGAGGCCACATTTGCGCTCCGGTTAAAATCCCACTTTGTCCCCGTGGATGCGTGAGTCCACCAGTTCGGGCTAGAGGGTTCCAGTGAAAGTGCTCTTTTAGCTGATTCATGGAACTCACCATTGACGTTATGCCGTGGAAATGGGAACGATTCAAATGAGTTATCCGAAGGTCACACAAAACAATGTTGTTTTTTAAACGAATTTCGATGGAATATAACTCCATTTTTATAGAATATCGCGACGATTATCAGCGAATTGGACAGAACTGAATAGCAGACCAGTCATACAATGTAGCATTTTGTAGAAAATTCGAACAATAATAATCTCATAAAGCTTACGGGGAAAACACATAATAGCAGAGGGTATGGTTTCCATCGTTGAGATAAAGTTCTTTGACACTATGACAGGAAAAATAGTGAGAATTCTATTATCAGTAAGAAAATAATTACAGAGGCGTTGATCTCTCAGTTGATATCAAGGTAGCACTGATTGCAACGATTCCGGATATGATAATTAAAGTCATTAGTTTTATTTTTTTTATTGACAACAGAACAGGAGCAATATTTTTTTCTCTCAAAGAACAGTAAGTGCAGATGCAATAACTAAATAAATTATTATTTACGGATGTACTTGAAATTAATATTTTTAAAAACAATTTTCTGACAGTTTTTAGTTATTCATAATATTACCTACAAACCAGGAGTAGAAACTTTTATCACTATAGAAAAATGTTAATGCATATTTATATTGTTATTTATTTAATACCTCTAAAATATTTATTAAAAAAATATTACTAAAAAATTAATTACTAATTATATATTTATTGCTAGTTCTTAATGAGTCATATTTAATGCTATGTATTTTGTTAATGTTATGTTTGAACGCAGAACTAGACTCAAAATTTAATATTGTTAATAAAATCTATATATTTATTTGTACAGATATTTCTTTGGCAAATAAAAAAAACTACTACTATTACTACTTCTGTGAAACATTTTTAGGAAAAAAGTTCATAAAATAAAAGTTCTTAGGGACTCGAAATCGATAGAAATTTGAAATAAATTTATTTTAAAATAAAATTTCTGTAAAACCTTTACTTGAAAAGTTGCAAGAGAAAAAGTTATAGTTAAAAAAAACTGAAAAACAATAAAAGTTGTTACTGTTTTAAACCTAACTACAAACTTTCCCTTTGTTTGATAATTAATTCAGTTATATCGTTTTAGAAGTTATTTAGGTTTAGATTTTTTCTTTCATAAACGTTATGAAAATTTGTATTAACTTTAAATAGATTAATTTATTATTCTATTTTTTTTTTTTACGTATGTCTTTATTAAGTGATAAAGGCGAAAGGTATCACAGATATTTTAGTTAACTATCATTAAATCTAATACTTATTTAACAACATATTTTTTTTAATGAAAAGTGTTTTGTTATTTGACGGTATGGTATTTTAACGCTGTTGAATTTTCATTACTAGTGTTTTTACAATGATTTCCATTTTTTTTGTAAATATAATTAAATTGTATAAAATATTTTTTGGCAATTATGTGATGATACCATTGAAGAATACGATTACTTATCCCATACATAATTTATAATTATTATGTCGTTCGACAATTTTTTAGTATTTCTTATATATTTTTTTAAAATCTGAAATTAAGGGTGTACAATCCAATGAGTAAGAGACCTAGACCCTAGAAAGAATTATTATAAGATTTGAGAGAAATAGCTTCCGCAAGACAACCGGAACTATCTGGGATCAGAGTACTAATGCATGGAGAAGAAAGACCAATAAAGAATTGCTTACAGAAACTGGTCAATCAATATATATTGATATGAAGACAAGGAGGTTAACGTCATGTAGCTCGGAACAATCTATCAGGAAACCTCTGCACGACATCGTATGCCTTATACATCGTACATACCAGAGGTGGCCAGCAAGGAGTGTCATGACGCAAGATGCGCCATCAAAATTTATGAGGGAGGCACATTTCGACGGGGTTATGAATTTTCAAAATGGAAAGTTTCAAATCAAAAGACAAGCGGAAGCATGGAACAGATCGTAAGATGTGTAATTGGAGGACGGGTTGGCCGAATGGGTTAACGCGTGTGCACTGCACCGCGAGTTGCCCGGCAACCAGATAACCGAAGTTATGAGATTAAAAAAAGTACGAGTTCGCGTCCCGGAGCCGGAGGGGATTCTAAATTCTCCGCCCTCACTCTCCGACCCGGGAAAATCTCGTATAGCTTCAAAGAAAAGGTAGAGAAGAAAAGAAAGAAAAAAAAAGTGTAACCGTATATAATATACGAATATTTAAATTTTACTTTCGTTTCCACTGTTTTTAAGAAGCCGAGAACAATAAAATATCTTGCGAGGGGTGGGGGAAGGTTTATGCGCCATCGGCCTTGAGGGGGAGAATGGGCACCCCTGATATATACAAGGTATATAAATCGTATATATATATATATATATATATATATATATATATATATATATATGGTACAATATCGTATGTGGGCGGAGTGGCAAAAAGGGCTAACCGTGTGTGCACAGCACCGCCGTTGTCCGGCAAACTGATATATGTGACTATTGATATAAAATAGTCATGAGTTCGCGTCTCGTTGCCAGGAAAGTCTTTTAAATCCCCGCCCAAACCTCCTGGCCATGAAAAAAACCCTGTATCCTAAAAGGCGAGAAAGAGAAGGAGCAAAAAAAAATAATACAATATCATGTGCCATATTATGCAACATTGTTTAGTAGACAAGGGATAATGTGGAAGGTAAAAACAAGATGAATTTATCGAATCAAGAAAGATGCAATAGAACTACATGCAGATAACTGGAAGGAAATAGCCCAGGATAGGCAGAGATGGAAAAGGCTGGTAAAAGCGGCAAATGATCAACAAGTTCTGTAATGCCAACAGAAAAAAGAAAAAAAGCTTAGGTCTTTCGGCATGTAAGTATATAATTTGTATGTATCCTTTGTAAATAAACAAATATTAACTAAAGTATAATAATACTATATTATATATATAAATATTGGTTACCTAAGGTGAGGAGAAGCTGGGCGGCGGCCTCCTCCTGGGCAGGGATGGGCCAGGCAGGGGTGGAGGGCCCGGGCTGCTGCTCGCTGGGCTGGGACCAGACCATGGTTCGCACGCCTCCTGCCTCCCCCATGATGACGGTGGGGGCGGGCCTGGGGGCGGCCGGCCGGGGGGGCCTCATCTCCCCCCGCCCGTTGGCCGATCTCCAGAACCCCCCAGGCCCGCCACCGTCGAACACCAACTCCTCCTTAACGCGCACCTCGATGGACTTTTCCGGGGTTAACGCTCTGCAAAAAAAAAAATAAAATATATATATAAATAAATAAAGTGTAATAAATAAAATAATATATAATAATAATAAATTAAACTAGAACCTTAACAACAACAAAAATTAAAAAAAAAGAAAGGAAACAAAAATAAGACAAAAAAGAAAGTATGGAATAAATAAAAAAAAATAGACACAGCAAAATTAAAGACAAGCAAGGTATAACAAGGAAGAAAAAAAATTGAAATATAGATTAATCATTATAATAACTTATAAGGCGAAATGCGAAGGTGATACGAAGGAAACTAATAAAATAAATAAACTATTTAGTGGTAGGGTAATATGAATTATAATATTTATTTTATATTAAAAAAATAAAAAGTTTATTTTATATCATTTTGTTAAAACATTAGCCTACACTTTGGTGAAGATTAATGATTAGGACTAAAGTGGAGACTTTCTAGATGACCAAACCTATAATCATTCCCGCGAATGTTTCTCTGGTAAAATGGTAACATCTTAAAAAACTATTTTAAAAATATGAAATTTAGTAAATAATTCGAATACGAGATAACTACAATATTCATTGTATGAGTTGATTCTCTTAAAAATCTCATTTTACATCTGAAATGCCATTTATAGGACAAGCTTGTTTTTTTTCATCACAAGCTGGCCAAAAAGTTGGTGACCCCTGGTCTACCCCACGGTCGGGAGCGGATTCACGATTTTTTTTTAAACAGTACTCTGCAAGAAAAATAAAAACTACTTAGATGAAACAATATTTAAGTAGCTCTTGAAGTCCTGATCCAAACAAATAAATAAAAATGATTATATGAAGTATAATACTTTTAGATATTTTTTTTTCTAGACTCGTGTTTACATTTATTATATCCATTATAATTTAAAAACTTACTATGATTGTTTAAGTATTTATTTAGCTTAGATCGCTCATAGAAATAAATTTGGACCAATGAAAAAAAATCATCTTGAGATTGAGAAAGCCCTCCGTAGATCGGTGTATAGATCAAGACATGATAAATTTTAAAATTAAATATTTATTATTATTTTTTTTTTTTAATAGAGCTTCACCTTGCTTTCCTTTCACGTGTGGGGGGATAAGTATGGTTCGGAGTTCTTATGGCCGACTGTAAATAGTGTTAATAGGTATGCCTGCATCTAAGATGTTTATTTTCATTACTTTTATTTTATTTATTTATTTTTTTTTTCCCACTATGATATTTTATTTTGTTCTTTTGTAGCTTTATATTATTTGAAGTTAGCTTATTTTTTTTATTTTTTTTTATTTGTAAATATGGTGTGAATGTACTCTCAGAACTCTATTATAAATGTCGTTTATTGAGACAGATTGTAATATTTATCAATAAAAAAAAAAAAAAAAAAAAGTAGAGCTTCAAGAGCTTGAAAATTATCTGTTTGAATCAATGAATAAAGTTTTTTTTTTTTAAATTTCACGTGGAAATGAAACGTAAAACAAAATAAAAATGAATTTCGGGTTCAAATTTAAGTTTTAAAGGAACTACTACAAGAATGCTCTACTAGCCCTAAATGATAGAGAATAAGATTAAACCCGGCCTAAAACTACGATGGTAAGAGAAATGAGGAACATTCGGAGGCTGTTGGAAGAGAGGGGTAAGGAAGTGCGTGACCACCGGAAATGAACCAACAGACCAGAGGCTTTTTAAGGTAAGAAAGTCAGCAACAATTCCAATTACAATGATTAATGAAGTCACTGTAGTAGACTTCCGAGATGGAAATTTGGAAAGTGTGGCGGGGAAATTGGGAACAAAGGGAGTCAAAGAGCCGCAGTTGATAATGGAAAACCTTTAGCAGATAGTCAGAGCACAAGCGGAGCTACGGGGTCGGCTTTTGGGCTGAAGCCCCTCCCCCCACCAAAAAAAACAAAACACAGGAAGCAGTTTTTTTTTCATTAACCCATAATTGTTATTGTGAGCGGCATAAAATAAATACTTAAACAGTCACAATACGTTATATTTTAAAAAATTATAATCCATATACAGCTATTAAATATAACCATATTTGATATTTTTATTTTATTTTATGTTTAATTATATTTTATGTATTATTTATATAAATATCATATTTTACGAAAAAAAAATTATCTCTAAACCAAATAGCAAAAAGTCACTAAGTACAATCATGACGGAGCTGAACTTTTGAGAACGTTTTTGTGAATCTCTTCTAATCAATATAAATAAGTACACAGTGAGTGCACCAAAAATGGCACAATGTTCTAATTTCACAAAGAGAAAATTCTTCAAAGTTCTTAATGATCTCAGGTCATGATATGTCACTTATTAACTTTTTGAATAAAACGTAAGGTTACTGTGATATTACATTTTAACAGGGCTTTAAGATTCACTTTAACATTATATCATATAGCTAAGTAGTTTCTTTCTCATTCTTCTAAAGTAAATATCGTTAGATACATGTGTATATATAAAATAAAACTTTCGTACAAAAGCGTCTCCCTTCCAAATTAAAAAAAAATAATTCCTTAGGATTCGATCGTCGAATTTCATGTTTACTTATTAAATTTTGATGTCAAAATACCACTAATAGAAGTCTCATAATTATAAAGAAAAAACAGTTTTGTCACTAACAGCACTAGCGGACCAAGGATTTAATTTTTTGGGGGGAGGGGAGCTTAAGCCCAAAAGATTTTTTTTCATATATATCACGATAGTAAATTTGAAAAAAAGAAAGAAATGAACTACCTATGTGAAATGGTGTTTTAAGAGATTCTTGAAGTCCTATTAAATGTAATTACACGAACAATAATACTTTAAGAGATAGTTTTTAATATTTTTTTCTATAAACATGTTTATTTTATAGTTTTGGGTGGAGGGGGGGAGCTTCAATCCGAAATCCCCCGCCTGGTAGATCCGCCTGTGGCTAACAGTAAAGGAAAATTTATAAGACAAAATAAAAATCAATCTAATTATATAACGCAGTTATATAATTTTTTATTGTAATATAATATTGTAAGTAGTAATATAATTGTTTAAGTAAGACAAGGATGTTACCAATTGCAATGCAGGATAGGCATAGCAAAAGAATCTGAACAAATGACAATTTTACATTTTTTTATTTATCATGTTTATTTAAAGAATCGATAAATATTTCCTATCATCAGAAACATATTAATATATTTTTTTGTAAATAAACAATAGTGAATATGTTCTCATGATGGGGAAAAAATATTTCCCGAAACGTTCAATGAATGTAAAGAAATTTGATTTAAAAAAAAAATACACTACAGTCACAAGTAAGTTATAATTTCCAACTTTATTAGTATAAAAAAAAATTCCGGAAAAAAGAAATAACAAGAAGAAATTAAGAATAAACATTTTATGAAAGAAAGTTTTATTGAATGAATATTAACCCCTTGTTAACTCATTAGAGCTAAAAAGGATCAAATTATTATTTTTGTTTTAAAGGAATTAAAGACTGGAGTTTTATACCATTCTCGTTCACTTCTTAATATTGATTTATGTTTGTTTGTTGTTGTTTAAAGGCGTAAAACCCTTAGATCATCAATGCCAACGGTTTACTTCAACTATAATTTTGTAAAAATAAATATAAAAACCTACAGAAAACTATATATAAAATTACAGAATTAAATGAAATAACAAGTAAAAATGGTAGATTTTTTAAAATAATAATAAGGCGAAAGTGCTATAATTTAGAAGGAAGAGATGTGTTTTGTTTTACATTCATACACCAATACGACTGAAGTTTCATTGTCATTACAGGCTATGAACAAATTTTAGTGTTGTCCAAATGCGAGACCAAGCCAAGTCTTGGTCTTGCGTACTTAGTCTTGGTCTTGTTCTTCCTCAAGAATCTTGCAACAGTCTTACAGTTACCAATTAGCTTATTATTGTAATTTTTTAGACAAGAGAAACCTAATTAAGCCCGAATGAAAAATTAAATTTAAATGCAAAAGTATATTGGTTATACCAATTTTTACATATAGTAACTAAAATTGTCAAGTATTAGTAGCTAATTTGCCTTCATTTTTATTCAAAAATCGATTTATTTTTTTTTACCAGTCTTGGACTTGCAACAGTTTGGCGGTCTTGGTCTTGGTCTTGCACTTTGTCAGACCAAGACCTATTTTGGGCAACACTAACAAATTTGGGATCAATCCCATTCTATTTGTACTTGAAAAGTAGTGATTAAATTCCTCAAATGTAAATGTGCATTCCTCAAGGTTTTCAATTTTATCAAATCGTAGACATGAAAATCGATTCTTAGGAAGAATCATAAAATGAAAGCACTTTCCCGACTAATAATGATTACATACGAATAAAAAGTAGGCGGGCGATTAGAAGATAACAAGAGATGTATGTAAAAAAAAAATGTCTGTTCTTTAAAGATTAGCTCTAAGCTAGAAAGCTGGGGCAGACAATGAGTAGGTGCCGCCGCTGAAATGTCAATGGACTCAGCCCGGTCAATTTCACTTCCCTTGTTTGAACAGCACTTTCTCCAGCTCCAGCGAAAGCTAGCGCCGAAATTCGATTTCGTCCAATCATAATCAGGGCTATTCATCAACATAAGTACCGATTACATGGAGAACGCTTTTCATTTTCGGGTGAGGAGAGTTCGTCGAAAAGGGTACGTCTCAGGGGTCAGTAGTTTCTGATCTCAGCGAGTGTGTGTGAAACACCAATATTTTGACTGAGTGGGAGTCGAAACCAGAAAGTTTAATAAAGGGCCACATTTTTAAGAGATTTTAATTCAACACCTCAGCGCCGTTAACAAAATCCAAAATATTTTGTAAGTTTTAGATAGATAGAAAAATAATTTTATTCTGGGACACAGTCCCTTGAGAATAAAAAAATTAAAAGATCACATTTGGCATAAATAAAATCAATCGAAAAAAAGAAATAATGTAAAAAAAATATAAGGTAAACATTATATATACAAAAAACGAAACTATATACAAAACAATTAATACTATGACAAGGCACTTAAAGC